GGCATGAACCGGACAGCAGGCATAGGGATGGGAAGGAAGAATGGGATGGATTCTGAAGCTATTTCAGAGAGACTAGACATGGCTTGGCCACTAATTGGGTTAGGCAAGAGATGGAGGGGGAGTAAGAAAGCCAAGTGTTCAGGATGACTCAGGGGTCAAGCTTGCACACGATGAAGAAGGCACAGCCATCAACTGAGGCAGAACAGGCCGGGGAGGAAGCTTGTGGAAGGCACTGGCCCAGTCCCAGGGCCACTGAGTCTCAAGTTAAGGTCTGAACTAGAAATGAGAGCCAGATCTTTGACTCCATGTTCTGCTGCCAAGCCTTTGCAGACATTTTCTAACAGCATTTCAGACTCAAGACTGGGGTGGAGGGCAAAGACAGGAGTTCGGTAACCATGGTTTCTAAAGTATCACAGAAAAACCACCTCTGGTCTTAGCCGATATATTTGGTATTTTTCAGGGTTCGGGGACATAACTAATGAGGCTCTGTGAGACGCTTTAGGTTCACTCAGCTCTCATGGGTTCCTTGATCCCGAGAGCTAAATGCTCACCCCCATTTAGAGATGAGGAAATGAAGATGCCCAGAGTTTAATATACTTTAGATCGTGCAGCTAAAATGGGAAACTGATTCAAAATAGTACCTGCACTTGAGTGCCTAGCACAGCCTGGGCCAGGAGCTGTGCTAAACACCTGTCGAGTATGATGGCTTTTCACGGTGGGCACAGGTAGAGGGAAAGGTTGGAGCTCATCTTTTGGCATCCAGAGCAGAGTCCCAGAAAATACACCCCTTTTTCACTGTGGCATCCAGACCCCATTTGTGCAGCTCCACTTCATAGTCCCTATTTGCACTCCTGCAGGTGACAGAGAGCTCGGCTCCTCCCAACTCAGAAATCCCTGCATTCTCTCTTAGCTCCAAGGGCTCATCCCTCTACCTCCCAGCCCAAGGGAAGCTCGGAGGTATCAAAGAGGGTCCACACGGACTGGTGATGAGGAGGGAGGAGACCACACTGCAAAGGCAAGCTGCACAGAGCTACCTTTCAAGTGCCTGATGAAGAGGCAGGGGCCTAAGCGAGGGGTTAAACAGCCACTCGAAGACAGAAGGAACGGTCTGGACAATCACCCGCAGAGCCTTCTAAAATATTTAAAGGACAGAAACATGCAAACATCGAACAATGAGCCAAGAACTGTCCCAAGACTTTAATTACCACCTCTGTGCTGACACTCCCAAATCCTTCTTTCCAGCTTCTCCCGAGCTGCAGACCACAATCATACCCAGCAGCTTCCTGACCTTCCCTCCCATCTCATGCAGCCCTTTGTTCCCGCCTCCTAGTGCCTCCTGCCACCCAGTCATCCAGATCAAAGCCTTAGTGCCCTCCCGGGGACTTCCTTTCCTTCCTTCAATTAAACACAGGTTCCCTCAAATCTTTCTCCCAACAGCCTGTGGTCCCAGCCTTTGCCGGGTTACTGTCCTCTTTAGGCGGGAGTATTTAACAGCTTTGAAACTAGCCACCTTGCCTGTGCCTCTCCAGCTTCAATGTCTTCTCTCAAGGCCCAGAGTTAGAGCTCTGCAGGGCAAATGCAACAAACCCCTCACCACCTCCTCTCCCTCTGTACACTTAGGAGGAAATCGGACCCCTCAAAATGACGTACAAGACCCTCTGAGATCTGGCCCCTGCTTACATTCTGGTCTTGTTTTCTTGCCTCCTGGCCCCTCGTCATTAAAACCAGGCTAATCTTAAAACAGCCCCCAAATATTGGACTTTCTTGATCTTTAAATGAGCTCTCAGATAACTCTGATACAAACCAGGCACTAAGAAAAACGAACCATGGGATGTACTCTCTTACTCGCTTCCTGGTCTTCGTGAAGTTATTTCCTTAGCTGGAAGATAATTTTTTTCTTCCCCCAGTTGACACCTCCTGGTGATTCTTCCTGCCACACCCCACCGGACTGGCCCCTCTGCACTCCCCTAATACCGTCTATCCACTCCCACTTACCACAATCTACATATCTGCATTCCTCTCCCACTTGGAGTACTTACTACATACATACCACACTTGACATTAATTATCTCATTCATCTATGCAGTAAGTCTGGCGTAGGTACTGCTATGACCCCATTCTAAAGAATGGGAAACTGAGCTTCGGGTCTTTACAATAAATTTCTGTAAGCAAGCAGCAGAGCAGGGATGTGAAAACCAATTTCTCTGGGCTCAGAGACCAAGCTCTTAAGCACTGAGATCCATCAAGCAGGTTCCCCCACGGAACCAAAGGGTGCTTGACTTTTACTACTCCCAAACCCAGGCACTGCTTGCCTACCCTGGGCCAGAGACAGTGGAAAATTACAGGAACAGTGACTCCCACCAGGGCTGTAATCCTGCAGAACTCTGCAGTGGGTGGAAGGGAGGAAGCCTTGCCTGAGCCTTTGCATAACTTCAAACAACCAGCTTCCCTTTCCTAGAACACCTGGGATGAGGAGGCGGACACCGTAAGGTGGGGATAAAAGCACCATTTCTTCTTCCATTCCAGACATTTCCCCCAGTGTTCTTTTACAGTGTTTTGCCCTGAGAATAAGCCCAGGCAGCATGGCAAAGCAACCATCACGGCAGTGGCAGGCAGTGCTGCCACCACACATGCCATGTCCAATGCACCAGTGATATGCACAGCTCCCCACATGCTTTGCTGCATCCCATCCTGCACCCTCTCCGCCGGTGCATTTCTCCCTTTCTATGGAGGAGGAAATTAAGGCCCAGAGCCTTAAATGGTCTATCCAAGAGCACAGAAGCCTTAAGTGGGCAGTATTGGGATTCTAGCCCAGTTGTCTGTCCTTGATTCTAGAGTGTATACAAATCAACCCCAGAGCTTATTAAGATGTAGATTCCTGGGGCCTGGAGGATGGCTCCATCAGTATCGTGTTTACCATGCAAGCATGAAGACCTACTTAAATGGTTCCCCAGCATCAAAGCATGCCTGGGGAGGCAGAGACAATGAGGATCCCTGGAGCTCACTGGCCAGAAAATCCAGCTCAGTGAATTCCCAGGTCAACAAGAGACTGTCTCAACAAATACAGTGGAGAGCAACTGAGGCAGCTACTCAGTGTCAACCTTTGGCTTCCAGATTCTCACCCCTCATGATTTTGGGGTGCAATCAATCTGTGTCATCCTGAGCTCAGAGCAAGTCTTAGGTGGGACCCAAGTCTGTTCTTTAGGCGAGCTCTCAGGTAATTCTGATACAAACCAGCCACTAAAAAAAAAAAAAAGCACTATGTATGGCAATGCTCTCCCAAACTGAGCTCCTCTGGAATACCAGCATGTCACACAAAAAAAATGACCAGACATAAGACAAAAAAAATGGGGAGGGGGTGTTTCATGGTTAAGTAATTTTAAGAAATACGACTTATTTTATGACTTTCTGGCAGATTTAGTGAGCATTACCAAACTGTATTTAACACAGTATTTCCCAAACTTGCTTAACCACAGAATCCTCCTCTACTTGACAGCACCCATTAACATCTCACAAAACCCAGCAAGTGGGATGGAGTCTGGGGAACACTGCTGTTATACTTCTCATCTCAGCACATACTGCCCTCTCCACTCACTTCTGCTAAGAATGCAATAAACGGAGTTCAAAGCTCTAATCCTGGCCTCACCCTCACTTGCTACGTGCGACCTTTAGGCCTCTCTGAGTTTGTTCCTCAGCCATAAATCAAAACAGTTAGCCCTGCGGCATGCCTACAGGGTCCTCATATGAGCATAATGGAGGCCCAACTGCTGTGTAGGGGCCTCAAGATGACTCTGGCTAAGGTGTTTGCTGTTGGGTCTAAGGGATTTGATCCCCAAGACCCACAAGATAGGAGAAAAAGCCATTTCTGTGCATGTGCCTGTCTAGTCTCTTCCTCTCTCTCTCTCTCACATAAATGTAACAAATGCTGTTATTAATTGTACAGGGTTACATATCTTTCAGCCTGTGACTATGGCCAATCAAGGCTTGCTAATATCCCTTTGATTTTGTTTTCCACTTTTCTGACATGAGATTAATCTCTCAAATTACTCTGTGATCAGGGCAACTCAGGACCCTCACGGGAGTTATTTTGTACAATGTAAAGTGAGGGAGATGCTTTGAAAAATCCTACAAAGTAATATTACACTGTACTGCGCTACAAGAATCACATTGTTCTTCCTAATAACTCTGTGAGGGGTGGACTCTACTACTAGATCTATTTTAGAGGAAACTGGCTCAGAAAAACGACTCAAAAACTAGTGTGGCCAAGACATGACTCTACTTTTGCCTCAACACTGCATTTAACCACCTCACCACTCTGTCACCTAACAAAGAATTCCCGCCACAAAAATCACACTGCCATGTTCCTGGCTGGTTGGAGGCAGGCTAGCAAGTGAGGAAGACGCATTTGTAGACAATCCAGGTTCTGACCTGGGCCCTGAGGCCTAACTACCTGGTGACCAGATAAACTCCGTGTCTACTTTGGGTTTCACTTTTCCTACGTGTGAAATGACGCTGAACTGCTGTGAATGGTGTCAGTATCTCACTTCTGGCACCTCCTACCACTGATTGCCCTGATTATTCTGTCCCAGTACGTGCTGGGTGAGTCGGGAAACCTGTTTTTGTCCCACGCCCTGAATGATACCGAGGGAACCACAGCCCTAAACGCCTTGTCAGCAGAGAGGACCCCGCCCCACCCACCGGAGACCGGAGGTATGTGCCCTGGTCTGGCCCAGCCCGGATCTATCCAGTCCAAAGTCCCCAAAGCCTGGTGTGCAGGCCGTCAGAAGGGACGCGACACAACCTCTCGAGGGGTCCTCGGTGACGTAAGATGAGCGCGACAGACTGGCCCTCTTTGTTTCTCGCTCACGCAAGACCTTGCTAAGGTGAACCTCTGCGTGAAAAGGGCGCAGATAAAGTGGAGAGAAAGAGCCGAGGATGAAGAACGGGCCTAGGCCTCTAGACAGAGCCCAGACATTGATGCAGGGGCCGCTACAACTCACCTGCCCGTACGGATAGCTGGCCATGGCGACTATGACGTCATACAATTGTGGAAGGCGGGGCTTCCTGGTCTAAGCCTCTCCTCGTTCAGTCTGGGAGGCGGGTTCACTTCTGATTGGACGGACAGACTGTCAATCTTACAGCGGAGAGACTGTCAATCTTACAGTCCACAAACAGAAGTGACTCTTGGGGCAGTGGGCGGGTACCTAGCAGACAGCGAGAGCGGAGGGCCTGGTAGGAGGGTCCGGAAGTGTTGGTGGCGGTAGGGGCGAGTTTGTTTTTGTGTTTTTGTGACCTGGAGCAGCCTTCCGGGCTTGTTAGATTAGGTTTTCTAATGGGGAGACTAGGTCGGTTGTTTCTGCGGTGGCCATATTATAACCTGGCAAATCGGACGCATGTTAGTTACGTCACTTTCTGTGATCACTTTATTTTTACGGTCAAGCGGTTGCCATGGCTACTGGGGGACTAACCCCCTCCTGGAATGCAGGTACTATTTAGTACTTGAATGCCAAACAGGTCTTTGAGCCGTGGAGAAAGGTCAAGTTGCCAGAGTAGAAGAAAAATTAGGATGATTTGGAACTTCTTCATAAATGGGGAAACAGGTCCAGAAAGGCAGTGACTTATATGCCTAAATTCACAACAAAATGTGGCCTAGGATTACTATCAATGGATAGCTAGGTTTCAGCAAGGAGGTCTTGTCCCCTTTGTAGATCAAATCCCAGCTACTAAGTGACTACCATGTTCTTGTCTCTTGGGGTTTGGGTTCTACACTTGTTTATTTGATTAAATTCCCATGTGGCCGGGCATGGAGGCACATGCCTTTAGTCTCAGCACTCAGCAGGCAGAAGCAAGGGTATCTACATAGAGAGTTTAGGCCAGCCAAGGCTACATAGTGAATGAGGCCCTGTCTCAAAAATCAACAAAAACTCTCATGTGGAAAAGAATTGTGTCTGGTTTGCTTGTAATTGTAGCTCCAGTGTCTACAGTGCCAACACTATACTTTTAAATACACAAATGAAAAAGAGTTTTGAGCTGTTATCCAGCTAGGCCATCTTACCATCTAGCCAGGCATTTTCCAAGCCCCCAGTGCTGATCATGGTACTGACCGCAGGACCACCTGCAATTCACATTCCTCATCCAAATCTGCAAAGGAAGACAAATCCTTTCATTCTGAGGCTCTTAATCTGACCTGTGCCCTGGCTGTGTCCACCTCTCTATGCTCTTTCCCCTTCAACACGCTTTAGTTGAGCAGATCTTGTTTTCTTTTTAAAAAATCAGTTTCTAGCTGTATGATCTTGAATAAGTTATCTTACTTCTCAGTCTCAATTTTCTCAAATGTCAGTTAAAACAATGTTAACTTGAAAGTGAATTTGTCATGGCCGCTCGTGCTCAGGCTTAGGGCCACAGCACTCATTCATAAGGACCAATGGCCCTTTCACATCTAGTCTGTCAGTCCCATCCCCCACTTAACCTCCCTCGTGGCCCCCAAGTCATTAGCCACATCTCCTAGTCTCCCTTTGCACCTAGTATGGCCGCTGTGTCACAGTCTAGCCCTGTATAAGAATTCTTGGATCATTTCCACAAAACTCATCCATTCTATCTCAGAAAATCTGCACAGTTGCTCAGGCCAAAAACCTAGGATCGTTCTTATGCGTCTTTTCTACACACTCCCCCACCTCCATTTATTTTTTGGTTCAAAAATATATCACATCTGTTTTTTCTATGTTCCAACTATCACTGATCCAAGACCCCTCTGTAGTCTGGCCTACACACAATGTCTTTTTATTTGTCTCCAACACTTTTTATTTGTCTCCAACACTCCCTTTTTCACTGAGAAGCCAGAGGAGGCACCTTAAGATGTGAATTAGGCTAGGTGATGGTGATGCACACCTTTAGTCTCAGCACTCAGGAGGCAGAGGCTGAGAAACTGGAGTTCAAGGCCAGCATAATCTACAGAGGGAGTTCCAGGACAGCCAGGGCTACACTGAGAAACCCTGTCTCAAAGAACAAAACAAAACAGAAAAAGTGAATTCAATATTGCCATTCTCTAAACTCCTCTGAGGGTTTCCCGCCACTCTTATAATAAAATCTAAACTCACCCTTACGACTTGATGGTCCTACAGGACCTAGATCCAGCCTCACTGATGCCATTGCTGCCCTCCTCAGTTCACTCCGGTCATGCTGGCCTGGTCACCACCCTAGAACAAACGGAGCTCATCCCATCTCCAGATCTTTGGATTTACCCCTCTGTTCTTAGAGTCCTTTCTTGTAGATGTATCCAACCTTCCCATCAAACAATAAACACAGAACCAATGCAAAGAAGAAAGCCAAGAGGTCAGAGCTAAGAGCCAAAACCTTACCCTTCCTCCTGCAGTGGTCCTACCTCTCCGAACCAGAGCTACCCCTGTGTTAAAGTCTTTATATAGAGTTCCTGTCCTGCCTTCTCATTGATTGTAAACCCAACCACATGACCGCCTCCTCACAGCCTGTCTGTATAGGCCTCCAGGTTTTCCATGATTGGTATTAAGATTAAAGGCATGTGTATCCAATAATGGCTGTATCCCTGAACACACAGAGACTTACCCAGCTCTGCCTACTAAGTGCTGGAATTACAAGCGTACGCTACCACTGCCCTGCTTTTCTATGGCTTGCTAATAGCTCTGACCCCCGGGCAACTTTATTTATTAACATACAAATAACATTTTAATACAAATAAAATATCACCATATTTTCTCCTTAACTTTCCATGGTTTTCTTTGTTGTCATTCTCATCCAGTTGAAATACTACGTTGTGAGTAGGTGGCATCCCAGATACCACATCTGAGATACCTTGTCTCCCAAGCACATCCCAGTCATCAGACATACCATGGTATCCAAGTTTGTCATAAAACATGCTATATTAACTTGTCCCCTTTTAGGATTTACTTGTATATTGCAGAACTATCCTGTTCTTTTGTAAAGATTTATTTATAGTTATGTGTATTTGTGTGTATCTGTGTGTGGGTATGTGCATGTGACTGCAGGTGCCTGTGGGGGCCAGAAGAGGGTGCCAGTTCCTGGCAGTTGTGAGTACGGATCTGGGTACTGGGAACTGAACTTGGGTCCTCTGGAAAAGCAGCAGACTCTCTTAACTGCTGAGCCATCTCTCTAGCCCTTCTGTTTGCACTCACCATATAGAACAGATCTTGGCATGCGTCCAGTAGGTATTAATGGTTGTTATTGTCGTCAACATGCATTGAATGCTTACTAACTATGAGACATTGTGCTAAGTCCTGCAATATTGTTCAAATACCAGAACAGTCTTTTGAGATAAATGTCATTACCTATTTGTAATGGAGGACTAGAGAAGTTAAATGACTTCCCTAATATAAAAAAGATAAATGGTGAGCTGGGACATGGTCTTGCATGCCTGTACTCTCAGCATATGGGAGGCTGAGGCTGGAGGATCACTAGTTCAAGGCGAACCTGGGCTACATAGCACGATCTTTTTTTTTTTTTTGGTTTTTCGAGACAGGGTTTCTCTGTGTAGCTTTGCGCCTTTTCCTGGAACTCACTTGGTAGCCCAGGCTGGCCTCGAACTCACAGAGATCCGCCTGGCTCTGCCTCCCGAGTGCTGGGATTAAAGGCGTGCGCCACCACCGCCCGGCTTACATAGCACGATCTTATCTCAAAAAAAGGGGGTGGGGGAATATCTTGGAGAGATGGCTCAATAGTTAACAGCACTTGCTCTTGCAGAAGACCCTGATTTTTATTGCCAGCACCCACATGATGGCTCTCAACCATCCATACCTTCAGTTCCTGGGGAATCAGTTGCTGTCTTCTGACCTCCAAGGGCACCATGCACACATGTGGTTCATTTGCATATAAGCAAAACAGCCGTACACATAAATAAATCTAAAAACATTAATGGAGAAGCCCGGATTCCAGGCCAAATTCAGAATATGTAACAACTCAGTGCTATTGTTACTATGTCATGTTGAGTTCTAGTCCAGGAATCTGACTTGGGTGTGGTGGACTCAATAAACCATGCCTGGCCACTCACTTCAAAGGACAAAACAGAAAAACGTGGTAAACCCAGGAAAGAAGTTGATTCCACCCAGCCATCATGGCCAGGAACAGCAACCAGCATCCTCGGACCTGTCTTCGAGGTGCTAACAAGAGCTCTGAGTTTATGTAAGGAACAGACAAAAGCTGGGGGCAAGAGATGCATGGCCAAGCGGTCTTGCTCCAGCTGTGGTTGGGTAATCATTACCTCAGGGTGGGTTCAGAACCTTTGGGGTAGTATCAAAGTTGCTGCTGCTCAGGGCACACAATGTTTATCAATCGGACCTGTAATTCCTGGAATCCAGGGTAACTGCAAGAAAGCATGACTCGGGACAAGTCAGGAAGACAAGGTGGAGTCAGATCAATAGTTGGCCCCTTCCAGCTTTAGGTAAATGATTAGGGATTTCTTGGCGCTGCTCTTGTGGTCTGGAACAGGACATTGTAAGGGCCTGATGCCAGCCAGGCGGTGGTGGTGCACACCTTTAATCTCAGCACTTGGGAGGCAGAGGCATGTGGAACTCTGAGTTGGAGGCCAGCCTGGTCTACAGAGCTACTTCCAGGACAGCCAATGCTATACAAAGAAACCCTGTCTCAAAAACAAACAATAAATAAGTAGCCTCATCTCCAACACTTGGGAAAAATGAGGTAAAAGGGTGATTTGTGTTTTTCCTCCCATTTAGGGGTTCATGTATCCCACGCCGGCTTAGAGCTTTCTATGTCGTCAAGACTGACTTTGAATTCCTGATTTTCCTGCCTCCACTTTCCAAGTGCTAAAGGTGTGCAACACTCTGCTCCAGGAAGATCCCAACTTTGAGGCCATCCTGGACTGCGTAGTGAGACTCTGTCTAAAAACAAAAACCAAAAAGCTGGCAGTTGGCAGTCTCCTGGAGAACTGGAAAGCCACCCCAGTCCTTGGATGAGGTAGCCTCAAGTTAAGGGACATTTTCCCAAGAGCACTTTTCCAGACAAAGACTCAGAGACCAGGTTAGGGAGCTTCTAATGAAACCAGAGCACAGGGAAGGGCAGTGCACTTTGC